TCCTGTTACCACCCTCAGGATGTTCCCATTTAAGCCCTTTGGGTTTGGTGGGTGAAGTGAAGAATTGAGGTGTACACATCACACTTGTCTCTTACTGTTCAATGTGGTCTTGTCATCAGTCCTATGTGGAACATGGTACTGTCTACAGACTGATTGGCCATTTTGTTAGCTGCTTTCTGGAAAGTTTCTGCAGCTGTCCATCAGACAGCCACCTGTGAAGAACAGTTCTTGCCTCCCTCTTAGAAATAGAGGGCTGGAAGCTGACTGTTGAGTTATAGGACTAAATTCTTGTGTTGGTAGATGAATAAGTGATTGCCATACAAGTTTCTTTAAAAGCACAACAATTTTGAGTGGGGTCTGGGGAAGGACATTTGGAGGAGGGATTCAGAGACAGGGCATTGTCAGGATGGGGAGGTAGTGTTGTTATCTGTTGAAGATATTTCGATCAACTGGACCGGAGAGAAATGTTCACATATTGAAATGTCTACTTTGTAAGCTAAATAATGTGATTGAATATATTTTTAAAAAAAAAAGGTAAAAAAAAAACCACACACACAACAATTTTGTTGTAAAACAAGGTCTAATGACCCACACTTAGACTTACCATGGCTGTTTTGTTTGTTTGTTTTTAGATTTTTCTTATATGGTGTTTGCACTTGCCAGATAGATAGAGACAGAAAGTGAGAAATCACCCTCTAGAGGGGATGGCCATGCCACAACTTCTTCTCCTCTGTTCTCTTGGGATTTGGGGGATGCACGCACAAGTGCCTAGCATGAGTTTTAAGCCACTGGGTCTGGGACTCATATTGCAGTTGACCACTTGGGAGTTCAGCACCTTAACCACTATGCTGCCTGCCATCCCCTTACCATGGCATTTTAAGTCTTTATCAAGCATTGAAAAATGTATCTGTCATTTGTGAGCTTCTTGAAAAATATCTTAAGGTTCTTTAGGTTCTTTTTTTTTTTTTTTTGGTCCCTATTGCCAAATATAGATAATAATAAAATTAATGCATAACTTTGAATAATATTCATATGCAAACACATCTTTTGTTCACACCAAAGTTTAACAAAAAATTTTCCCTTGGAATTTCAGTGTATGACACAATATTTAACAGTAATAAGTTGTAGTTGAATGAATTGAGGTCTCCGAGAAAAATAAGATCCACTTTCTCCCTCCAATTAACCTATGTGGAATTTCTGTTTCCTGTGAAAAATCCAGGCCATCTCTAGTTTGCAGATAGCTCCCTTTTAAATGCCCCATATGTGATTCTTCCCTCACTTCAGTAGCCAGACAAGCATATATGGAGACAAACCCCTCCCATTTAATCCAACCTCAGATATTAAATCTGTCTGTTCAGAAGTGGAAAGAAAACATTATTGTTTTCTATTTCACGTTGGAGCAATTTCGGTTGCTCTGAAATATCACATTTCATAGAACCGTGTTCTTGTTGCTGCCCTTTGTCCCATCCTAGTTATTGTACCAGTTAGAGATTCCTTTGGACTATCAAGGTATACTCTGTCTAAAGTACAAAACGCTTAAGTAACTTTCAGGGGCCACTGGCATTCACATCTTTATGTTAATTTCCCCAGACCGAGTGTCGTTTGAGTTCTAAGGGAGGAAAGAGATTGGTCTTAGGGAATGGAATTGGCTGGACACCCCTATAGAGGTCAGAGGGGTACATTAAGACATAAAAGATTTTGAAAAGATGGCTTTAAACTAGTATTTAGGCTTAGGTAAAGAGTTCTGAAGACATCTACCTTGGATGGGCAACCTAAAATATGAGCTTATTTTTGCAAGCACCACTGTTTCTTACATTAATTATTCATATTTACACTACTTGAGAGGCCATATTCAGAGATATTTTAGCTTAATCCATGACATTTCCATTCCTGTCAACGAGTCAAAAATTCATGGCACAAATTCAATTTAACATAAGTAAGTTTTGTTTTTCAGCTGAGTACATACTTTTTAAAAATCTGAAATGCATAAGTGTTTTAACTAAATTAGGATAAAGTAGATTGGAAAGTTAGTCACAGTTGTACAATAATAAATTAGATGACTAATTTAATGTATTTGGAATTTATTTTTCTACATTAAACTTTCTAGCCATCCCCCAGGCTGGTACTGATCAGTGTATACATTTTACCATGGGCAGAAATAGTAGAGTTTAGGAGCTTAGACTGAAACTGAGCTAACTGGGTTTGAATCCTACCTTTCCCACTACTATGTGACCTTGGGAAGCTATTTATTTCTCCCATCCACAGTTTTCATATATATAAAATGGGAATAATAAAAGTACTTGCTTCATAGAATTATTATGAGGATGAACGTCAACTTTCATTACAGTAATAAAATTGAACTTTATTCTAATTGGACTCTTCTCTGATGAGCTAAATTAGAGTATTACTTTATTTTTCCAATTTGGACTATCAATGTATACTCTGTCAACAATAACTGAACCTGAAAAAGAGAGTATTTTTCTTGTTGGGGCCGTTGACCAGTGTTATGGTACATATGTGGTCACATTGAATTTATCTTGTGGGTGATTTTTTTTTTCTCTTGGGAACTTAATTTTGATTAATTTAAAGTATTATTACTAAGTATGTTTTGTATTCTTATGCAGCATAAAAATAAATTTCTTTTCATCTTGTGCCAAAACTTTATTTCAGCCTCATCATGATAGTGGTTAAGTCCTCTTAGATTCTGCTGATATGCTAGAATTTGCTAGTATTTTACAAGTAGGTGAGTCATTGATGGGAGACTTGATTTGAAATAAATTGGTCAGAAAGTAGTTATTGAGTGTGGTGTAATCTGTTGAAGATATTTTGATCAACGGGACTGGGTAGAATTGTTGACATATTGGAATGTTCACTTCATAAGCTAAACAATCTCATTGAGTGTATATAAAAATAAATAAATTCATAAAAAAACAAACAAACAAATAAAAAGTAGTTATTGAATCTCTACTTGATACCCCGCATTGCAGGGCAGAAGGGGAAAAAAAGGAGAAAAATTAAACATTGTTTTAAGGACTCTCAATCCCAATGATAAATGAGGATTAATCAGAGGAAAACTTGGAGAAAACACTAGTCATAAATAAGTATTCAGTGACATAGGAGCTGTCACAGCATTTCAACTGAAAAAGACACCAGGAGAAAATGGAGTGAGAAGAAAGGTGCAGTGGTAGAGAATTTTGTCTTGCTGACTCTTAAGTGTAAAAGGATGAAAAAAATTGATTCCCAGGAGAAAGGGAAGATGGAACTTTTTGAAATGAAGTGACTCTAGTCTGAATGTGGGTTAAGAAGGAATGGCCGAGAGGTTGAAGATGAATGTGAATTCTTCTTGAAATAAGAAGAGAAAAGTTCTAACTCCTTAGAGAGTCAAACAATTGCTCCCTACCACCCACCCAGAACTGAAAATCCTTGCCTTAAAATGATAAATTGTATCTCTTCAGGAAGACATTATATGCTTCAGCATTGTTTTTCTTCCCCTGGATTTATTTCTATTCTTTTTCTGTCTCTTCTCAAAATGGCATGTCCCTTCTCAGCTTTCCTCACGTTAGGCCTCTGAAAGGGCATTTGCTATGTGAATGGACCATCCCCTCTTTATTGGCTTCTTGAAACAGTTCACGTCGTTCTTTCCATTCTCCCTGTTAGGTTTCAGGAACAAATTTTTCTAGCCAGGAGTTTGAAGTAGTATTTCAGACCAGTATATTTGGCTTTGTAAATGTACCCTTCATCACCAAGGTCCTGTGTGAATGATTTCTTGATAAAAGTTTGAAGAATTATTGAATGGAAATCAGTTTCCTCTATGTAGGAGTTTCCTGATACTGATGGTGGAAACTTCCTATTGTCCAGCAAGATGCTCCACTTGAACTTAGTGAACTCAGGGAGAAGTAAATATGATATCATTTTAAAAGTATTTCTTAGACTTAAATTATCAGTTATACTTTCACCTTATAAAAAGTGTTGTTTTCCTTGTTTGTTGGGGGGTGACTATCTCAATAGTCAGTTTCGACCACTGGGCAGCACATTGACAGCTGCGTAGAATGTACTTTGGCTCATTCCCATGCTGTATAGAACAATGTTCTTTGAAGGTCTCATACACCTGGCTTTCTCCAGAAGTTTAAATTCTAGAACTTTAACATTATGTTAAAATTTGAGATTGTAAATTAAAGCCGAGCAATAGACAATTGACAGAATTGAAGCAAATGTCTTATGCATATTTAAGCTCAAATGCTACATGTGAGATCACATAGTCTATGGAATACTTTTTTAATAAGTGATTATGAGTTTAATTATTTCCATTGTATTATTATGTTACAATAATATAATTTTCATATCTAAGTATTATTTTAGGACATTGATACGTGTGGTATAACATTCCAAATAGAATTAAGCCTATTGACTTTTGAGTCAAATATTGCTATCATGGAAATCATATTCTATATGTCGCTTCATGATTTATTCAGAATTCTAAAACTGTCTCCTGCCATTAATATTGACATCTTTCATCAGTGAAAACTGCTTTGGTATGCTCACAGAAATAAATTACTGAATTTTTATATAACTAAATGCCTTATTTGGTAAGGTAGGTATTGAAAATATGACATAAGCAGAAGTCATGGGCATGCATAGGAACGGCAGTTCACCTGGATGCAGGCCAGCAGGGGACAGGCATGTCACTGATGGTGACTGCTATGTTCTTCTAAGAAAATATTATCTCTATTTTCCAAAGAAAGATACTGATGCTCTAAGAAAAAAAGAGAAGAAAATATGACATACTTTTTCTAATACTATTTTGAGACTTCTGTTTTTGTTTTTAACATATAGAAAGTCTCAATTACATAGTTGGCTTTGAACCTTGATGGGTCCTAATTGTACCAATGTGGTTTATTTTATTTTATTTTAGTACTAAAAAGCTGTTTGTTTTTTCCTCTCTAGGGTGATGCTGGACTGCCTGGGAACCCTGGCTACCCTGGACAACCTGGTCAAGATGGTAAGCCTGTGAGTACTGAAAGCTTAGTCATCTCAGTACTGGGATTATAGTGTTAAAGTAAAATTTGCACTGTGCAGTTAAATAGGCAAGGGAGATTTTAATCAAGACTGCTCCAGTAGGAGAGAGAGATTGACCCCAACTCTACTGAAACAAAGGGAGGGAGGGCCTTTGAGAGCTGAGGTTGGCCACTGAAGAAGTATTGGAGTACTTTGGAGGGGACATTGATCAATGGGTTGGGAGCTATTGAGTTCTTCCTCAGTTTGCAAATAATTTCCTCTGTAATGAGGTCATCTGTATTTTCTTTTATATATATAAGAATTATTTGTTTTATTTTATTTATTTATTATTATTTTTAAATTTGCTATAGGGCATGTGCATGCATGCATATGAGAGAGAGAGAGAACGTGAGAAAGCAAGCTCCCAAGTCTGGGACTGAAATGTAGTTGACATGTAGGAATCCAATTCCTTAACCCTACACCACCTGCTGGCCCCAGCCATCTGTATTTTCCAATTGGCACCCATCACAATTAGGCTTTTACCCTTCCATAGAGACTGGAGGACAGCGGTGCTAATTTACTTGGCTGATTATTGTGGTGCCATTTATTATAATGGGCGAGATGTAAGTTTTACCCAGGAAGTTGAGAATGCATTTTTTTTGGCACGTTGGATGTGCCAAGTTGGAATTCATTTCATATAGATACATCTAAAACCACATCTTTAGATGTACAGAGTGGGTGGGTTATTTAGGGAGTAAATATAGAAAAATCGAGAAGAAAAAGGGTAGTGAACTGAGCTTAGGATCCCCCTTACAGAGGAAAAAAGGAGGAGGGTCCATCTTAATTGGGAAGGAGACCCGTTAGGAAGGAGAAAAACCAGGAGACTGTGCCATCTGTTGGATTTGTGTCATTGTTAAGAGGTTAAAAACACACACACACACACACACACACACACACACACACACACAACAAAGAAGGCTATGACTACACAGTTGTATTGCTATATAGGGGTTACTGAGAGTCTTGATAAATTGGATTTCAGGGAGTGAGGGTACAAAAGCTGGATGGAAATGCATTCAAGAGAAAGTGGAAGACAGGAAAATGTGACAGTGAGTATAGATGCTTCTGAGGATATAAAGGACAGTAGAGAAGTGGAAGAGCAGAATGAGAACAACGTGGGATAGAAGCAGGCGCTTTTTAAAAGCTTGTTTCTTTTTTTTTCATGAGAAGAAATAAGAGTGAGAGCTAGAACAAGATGAAGTAGGTGGAGGAGGAAAGGGAAGAAGACACTTTCAACAGAGTCTTGTCACTCCATGATCATCTTCCCCTAGCTTCCCAGCTAGTCAGAATCCTGGGCATGGACAAGCACCAAATGGGTGTGTTTCAGGTGGACCAAGTGTCCAAATCCACGGTTGGCCATGTGGCTTCCAGTACTGCAGTTCACTATGCTACTACCTGCACCACTGAGACCAGCCCAAAGCAGGGTTTTTAGAAGATGAGAAATATTTTACCATGTTTATTAGATGTGAAAATGAGGCAAAAGGTGTGAAAATAAAAGTTTATTATTTTATTTTATTTTATTTTATTTTTTTAAGGAGGATGCTTTCGGTAAGAAAATATGTGAGTAGGTTAGAGGACATTGGTTCCAGTTATAAGATGAAAGTATGGCCTCGATAAGAAGAGTGATCATTGCAAACTTTCTATGAGATAAAGGACCAAGACTGTAGTATAGAAAAAGCAAGGTATTTTTTTTTTTTTGGAAAAAGATCCAAGAAAATTTTTATCAAACTGCTTCTATTTAACTTGTATGAATAGATTCAAACCTAATGTCTCCCCTTTTGTATTTATTTTCAATCGCCTGTTACATACCACATTTGGCTTGTAATTTCTCTTATAGCCCATCCTTTGTCCTTTACCATGAGGTGTGATATGACAGTGCTGCATTTCCTCACTGCAATTCCTTAGCCCCCCTGAAGATACTCTCTTGATATCGTGTGTGAATTCTTTTCTAATCACACTCCATGAGATTATTTGTTATAAATGTGAACCCTTCCCTGCCTAGAGATCCCTTTTCCGGGACCTCCTCTTTCTGTGACAGGCAGCTGAAGTGCTTCACCAACTTCACAGAGGATACACTTCGCAGGTTGTTATACCATCTGCTGGCACCTCATAATGACATGGCACTGCTAGATTATTTAGGCCTTTGTTTTCTTTTTTTCAGTGATGACAAATCCTAGGCAGTGTTTGGAGCCAAGTGCTAAGCAGGCCTTCTACAGCTATCAGTTCACCTGTTGCTTTATAAAAAAAAAAATCTTCCAGTGAAATAAGTACTGAAGATTAGTTATTATTAGCCTGATATCATGATCATGAATATTACTCTATAGCTCAGGTTATAATAGATACTGCCTCATCTCAGTACATGCATATGTATATATATATATATATTTTTTTTTGTGAGTGTCTGTATGATTTTATATATAGATATAACTGTAACTATGCAATATCTAATAGTAATGCCAGAGAAAGAAAGAAAAAAAATCTGTGAGAGGCAAAATTATGTAATAATGTTTGCTCAAAGATGTCCATGTCCCAGTCTCAAGACCTGTGAATGTGTTCCTTTATGTGGCAAAAGTGACTTTGCACATGTGATTAAGGCTGTTGAGATGGGAAATTTATCTTAGATTATCTGGGTGACCTAATATGATCACAAAGGTCCTTATAGGAGGGAGACAGGAGTATGAGTCAGTAGAGGAGATGGAAACGTCAAAGAGAGGTAGCCATAAGCCAAGGAATGTAAGCAGCCTCTAGAAGCCAGAGAAGGTAAGAAATGGATTATCCTCTAAGCCTGCAGAAGAAACACAATCCTGCTGACACCTTGATTGTAGCTCCCTCAGATCCATTTTAGACTTGTAGCCTCCAGAACTATAAGATTACAAATTTGTGTTAGGTTACTGTATTTATAGTAATTTGTTAACACCAGGTGTAGGAACCCGAAACACCAACCCAAATCATGTTTTCCCAGAGGTATAACTTTTTCTTAAATTTCTCCCTTCCTCCATATTTCCTTCCCTCTGCAAGAGATGTGAGGTTGGGTGGCCAAGCAGAAAAAGCAAGCAAGCCTGGGAGCCAGAACAGCTGAGGGTCATTAGTGTGTGTCCAGGGCCAGCACCGAGGGGGAGTGGGAAGGTGTGGGTAGGGCCTCTGGCTGGCTGTTGGAGCCATCTGGACCAAGGAAACTTGGATGGAACAATTTGAAGGGAATTCTGCTTTGTTTGGACTTCTTTCTGTGCAATCCCCCTCAATAAGCAATTTGAATCCCTTTCACACATAATAACCAAGCCAAGTCAACCAAAGCTTTAAATAGGAAATTATTCTACTCTGGAGAGATACCGATTTTCATAAGGAAAGTATCTCCCACCAAAATTAGAGAGCTATTTCAAATCTTTCCATTTCATTCTTATTTCTCTATCAGTTTAATAACATCTATCAGCATAGTGACTGAGCATATTACTACTTTACTATTTTATCATTATAAAAGAGATAAAGGAAGTATTTATAATCCTGCAATACAATCCAGAGTATTACACCAATTAAAGGCATTATATTGATTTGATATTGATTTTTTTTAAAGAAAACCATATGTAGAAACATATAATAGCACTACTGTATGGTTTTATAGATGTTTACATTTTTACAGTACTTATTTCTGATTTCTGTCATTATTAATTAGTCTTCATGTAATAAAATCCTTCATTGAAATGAAATGCCTAACTAATTGTTGGAGAGTTTTGGGGGGTTTTTGCTCTCTGGTTAGCAAAGATACTTTCTTTTAGGGGCCTCCATTTCTTCATCTAGTAAATTGAAGATGGTACCAGATGAGGCCCAGGTTCTGTCTGATGCTGATTTTTAAAGATTCTGTGAAGGTCATTGTCTTTGCTAAGAGAGAGAGGAGGGAGACTAAGCTCTAGAACTTTGGAGACGGTTATCCACAAGAAAGGCCTTAAGTGAGTTGGGAAGATCGACAGTGCTGGGCTACCAGGAGACAAGAGTGGGTTGGTCAGCGGATTGCACTCAGTGACCTAGTGTCTCCCCTTTGTCCCTACCCTCTCTAATGTGCTACTGAATGGTCTAGAGATGCCAGAAAGGGACCGAATTTCTTTTTTTCTTACATGTCACTGAAGTAGAAAAGTGATCTAACTTACTTTTAAGAGAAGAAAATGATTGACTAAAAGATATAAAAACACAGTAAATGGATGTAAATACAGATATAGTATGTGTGAAAGAGTAGGGTTTGAGGAAGAACAATTAGAAGAAAAATGGGGAGGAAAAGAAGTAATGGGACAAAGAAAGGTGCCAATTTCTGTTAAAGATATATTGTAGTTTAGTCAACTGGACTAGAGAGAAATGTTCACATGTTAAAATATTCACTTTGTGAACTAAATAATGTGATTGACTGTATAAATTTAAATTAAAATTAAGAAAAAAATGAAAAAAAAAATGACTAATTCCCATGAAAGGCTTCTATGTAGAACCCATATCTATTGTATTAATTTGTTCTTTATCATTTTTGTACTTTTTGTGCTTTGTTGTAGTCATCCTCAGATGTATTATGCATGTTTAATCAGCTAAACCAATCATGTAGTAAACTTTGTGAAAATAGAAAAAAAATTAAAAAAAGAAAGAAGTTAAAAGTGACTTTTGAGTTGAGAATAGATTAAAAGGCAATGAAGGCAAAAGCAGGAAGGATAAACCAGCGGCTCTTACAATTACCCAGGGGTGAGATGATAGCCAGGGTCAGGGTGATGGTAAGTGAAATGGAGAGAACTGCTTATATTTGGGGGATGTTTCTAAATTAGAATTGACAGGATTTGCTCATTTATCAAATATTGGTTTGGGAAAAAGAATAGTCAACGAAGACTAATAATATTTGGAAGGATAGGATAGGGAAAATTGTGAGAGAAATCAAGTGTGGTTGATGATATATTAAATTTATATGTTAGACACTCAACTAG